GATGCAACCTTTTCTTTTCTCTGGACTGCAGCTTCATTTCATCCTTGTGAGGTTCCTCACCTTTCACTGCTGAAGTAATCCTCCTCTGGTAACGCTGAGACAGAGACTACAGGAACAACAGATGCAAACAGTTAATCAGAATCACACATGTGGTTGTTTGATGCTTTTATAGTTTCTAAAACACCTCGACGAGCACAGCACAAGTTTCAACAAAGGATCCCGCCCCGACACACATTTAAATTTGAAATCTGTTCTACGAACTTTGAGGCACCGAAACAAACAACTTAAATTAGATTAGAAGGCAGAACGCTAAATATGCCTAAATGAAAGTATCCTTTTGAAACTTTTATCTGCAGAGAAGAACAAGCTGTTCATTCCTGCAAAACAGACTTGTTTTTCTTGACTTTGACCCTGAAAATGTGCTGACATCAGCACCAGGAAGTGTCCTCGGGCGAATAATAAGAAGCCTTCATGTTCAGACGAGCAGCAGATCCCTTCCTGTAAATCGATCTCTCTTCTCTTCCTTGTGTCTTACGTTTCTCAAATCAGTTAATCTGCAACTACGACTGGACTGATGAAAACCAGTTTCTCAGTAAAGCTGCTTTCTGTTTAGAGAGCGAAAACACATTTTTCCTCACTTTTAAAGACATATAATGAAAGAATTACAAAAGATTTATGTAAAAGGTTGTTTCCTAACGTGAGAATTATAGCCGTTTTTACTGGCAGCAAACAGATGTGGCAAAAGTTTAAAGAGGTTTTTTTAGGCAACCAACACAGGCGTGAACTTTATTTACCTGCCTGCAACCGTGTGAACAAGAATATGAAGCAAAAATTTGTTGACTAAAACTTCTGCAAAATGTTTAGTCANTTTTTTAAATAAACCTTTTTTATCACCTACTTCTGAAAGACAACAAACAGATCAAGTTTATGCTTGCCTTTGCATGTGTGTCCATTTGTCTGCTGTGTTAGCAAAATATCCTGAACAAATCTGAATGAAATTAGTGATCGTGCATCTGCAGCCGACTACCTTTCGGAGTCAACCCAAGATGGCTGCCACAGCTAAACAATTATAGCACAGTAACATAAAAATGAACATAACTCAGTCAGTTTTACAGATATTTAACTAAAGTTAGGAGCGGCAGCACATGTACCAACACTTAGCTAATGGATCATGTGACTTATATGTCAAATATGTTATTTTCAAGCTTTGACCAAAACAACTTAATTCCATCATTCCTCAACATACAGCCTTCATTTGAAACTAACAGCAGTTAAAATGTTTGGCAGAAATAAAGTTACTACAAACATTTTWAACATTTTAACAAGTCTAAACTTTTGTGTTTATCACATACTGTGGATGAGTTCTGTTGWTTTTTGGCAGGATGTTTGAAACTTAAAACACGCCTTCTTGTTATTCAAGGAGAAACCGGTTTGAATACTTTGAGTAAATCCAGTGAATTGTTCCGACACTAAAACGTCACAGCAGCTGATTTTGGTGATGCTCTCTCACACAACTCCCCTCCATGCAGCTTTCACAAGATGGATTCTAAAACCATTTGGCAATCGCAAATTCAATCTAACACCATCTTCTGGTGACACTTTGGTTTAAATTTACATAATCAGAACAGAATGAAAACATTTAGCATTCACAGCTGAGTCCTTGTTGCTTTATTGGGACGCAAACTGGTTCAACTACAAGCCTGGCAAATTAATTTTACAAATAATCAAAGCAGCAAAACGTAGTATTCAACATATACTGAAGACGTGGTGCCGTGAATCTACTGAGCATCACAAGTTTAAAGACTGTGGGTCAAACTTGCATGATTTTACCACCGGTTTACATTTCCTTGAGCATCGGAGTCCAAAAAAAAAAAAAAGGGCAGCAAAGTGAGAGGAGGAGAATCTGAAGACGGAACAAAAACCAAACAGATATCACGTCGAGGGGAAAAAAAGGGTTTTTGGAGGGTTTCAGACCAGAGCAGGTGAATGCATTCCTGTGCCGATTAGACCCCAAAGGATCACATCTCTGAGCATGAAGGAGCTCATTGTCCGTCTGTGACAGAGATTTAGATCATTTCAGCATTTTATTTCCTCTGATTTTCACAGGAAGCTCCTCATGATGACGAGGACCTCAACCCTTTCCAGAATTAAAAATAAATAAAGAAGTAAGTAAGTAAGTAAGTAGGTAGGTAAGTAAGTAAGTAAGTAAGTAAGTAAGTAAGTAAGTAAATAAATAAATAAAACTATTTCTACAGCATCTTTCACAGACACAAACATCACAAAGTACTTCACAGAAAGCAAAAATACATAAATAAATAAATAAATGGCATTTTTACGTTCTTTGCAATTAAAAGGCTGTTTTTTAAAAGAAATTAATGATGCCATACACTTTTCATGCCAGAATATGAAAAAAGGGAAGACTTATAGAGCTAATTTGGTCAAACTAAATCTGTGCCATGCCATGAATACCTCAACTATACCAGTCAACTTTTATGCATCATTTCCATAGATTGTGCCAAAATGTGGGCCGTTTTTGCTGCAGAGCAGAAGAAGGAAACTGGCGGCTGTTTGTCACTCTGATCACAAAGGCTCTGCTGTTGTGTTGGAGCAGTGCATTGCGGGTACTCTCACCTTTTCGATGAGCAGGTGGAGCTGCTCGGTGACCTGCCAACACGGATCTCCTCTTCCAGCCGTGATGCTCTGCAGGTCAGAGCCCGTCAGACAGGAGACACTGCTCCGGGCGAACGTCTCCTTCATCTGCGGAGGAGAGAAAAGCTGTTTGACCGACTGCTGCTTTAATTGTCTTTCTGCAGGAGAAGGCTGATATTTTCCTGGCACGTGTCCAGGTTATTTTTAAACCTGTTTAGGTTTTATTTCCCACATAATGATGTTTCATCAATGATTGATTTCTGTAAACAGTTCAGCTTTGGACGCGGTCCAGGTAAGAAACTACGCAACTCTGAAGCATGGCTGCAGTTCACCTCTTTACCTTCATATCCTTTTCTGTTCTGGTGCATGTTTATGTGAATCTGTTTGAAACTGGATTTGTTTAAAGTGAGAGGGGTGTATGTGTGTGTGTGTGTGTGTGGCCTGCGCTGCTTTGTGCAAAATAAACTGCGTGTGTTCTGGAGCGCGTAAAACCAAACTAAAGCAGTTCTTCACCAAGTGCTGAGCTGTAGCGATTATAGAGTTTAGAAAGGGGGGGGGGGGGAGTTGCATCAACACTTTCAGCAGATTTGCGCGCTCCGCGGAGCGCGGAGAGCCTCCTGCCGCCGCTGCGTAAAATCAAAAACTGCTGCCGCGTCTCCGCTTCGTGCGCACGGGTTCCTTACCGAGTTGAGAGCCGTGGTGAAGTGCAGCACGGTGATGGTGACCACCACCGTCTGCAGCAGAACCGCCACCAGCAGCAGGACGCCGAGCTTCGGACCGGAGCCCGTCATGGTGACGACAGCCCGCCGTCCGGGACCCGAGCAGCGCAGCCGCGTCCGCAGACCGTCCCCGCTCCCAGACTTCCAGGACGAGAAGAACAATGGAGGAGAGAGCTGGCTTCTTCACTTTTTTTTATACCCTCCCCGTTCCTGGCTGCGCACGGGAGGAGGAGAAGGAGGAGGAGGGGGAAGAGGCGGGTCTGAACAACAAGACTTTTTTCACTCTTTGATTAACTCCTGCGTGCAGAGATCATTGTTTCATCTGTGCGCTGAGAAAACACTGATAACTTTTATCACCGACTCAAATCTCCTCTGCAGATCTGCAGCTGCCCCGGGAGGAGACAAAACGCCTCTGACACAATCAGAACTGAAAAACCTGACACCTCCATTTTCATTTAAACACCACAGATGTTTAGGATTTTCTGACTTTAGTTAGAATAAATTAACTTAAAATGATGCACATTTTGGTTTATAATMATAATAAAAACATGTAAATCTGAGAAAATGGATTTGTGGAGTAAAAGGCTTAATWAACATTTGAGCAGCTCAGAGGTGAGAGGAAGGAGACAGTTCTGGCCTTTCTGTCTGCCTTTGTCTTTTAGTAAAATATCTAATGAACCTCTCAAAGTTGATCTAAATCGTTAACTTTTGGAGTCAGCCCATTAAACATGACTGTAAACTGACTTTGAAACACAAACATTGCTACAACTCAGTTAATTTGACTAAAAATAAGCTAAAAATGAACGTGGCTAGGATCAAACTCACATACCTGAGTGTGATGACGTGATGGTCTTAGTTTAAAACTCTGACATTACATCTAATGATTTGGAAACTGGGTTATTATTTTTTTCTGTTTACAATAAATGGATTGCTCTCTCTGGGTTGKGGTTGAGGTTCTSCTTCAAGTGGTGGAGTTCAAGTATTTTGGGGCTTTTGTTCACAGTGAATGGAGCATGAGACTRACAGACAGATTGGTGTGACTTCCTCAGTACTGTAGACTCTGTATTATCTGTTGTGTTGAAAAGGGAGCAGAGCTGTGAGGCGATCAGGCTAGAGTAGAGCCGCTGCTCCTCCACATCGAGAGGAGCCAGTTGAGGTGTTTAGGATTCTTTCTAGATGCCTCCCTGGAGAGGTGCTTCAGGCATGGCCGACTGGGAGGAGACCCTGAGGATGACCCAGGACACGCTGGAGAGACTATTGTCTGCAAGAACACCTTGGAATCCTCCCAGAAGAGCTGGAAGAGGTGGCTGGGCCTCCCTGCTGAAGCTGCTATCCCACAGCCCGACTCGGAATAACGGAAGATGATGGATGGATGGATGGATGGATGGATGGATGGATGGATGGATGGATGG